AACTGTGACCGAAATGAAAAAATAAGAAGAGGAAGGAGGAAAGAAAATGATCGAGACATCTTTAAATCATAACTTATCTGTTTTGTATTTTATCTAATTCTCTCATTTTGCAACATACGTCTGGACATTATTATGCATGCATATTCCTAATGTCACTTCAAAGACAAATTCATCTCTAAAATACCTGTAAGTGCTTGACCACGTTGACAACCTCCCGTGTGGAGTATGGRTATGATATCAATCCCTGATCAGCGCGGGATCTCAATTCACCAAATGCGCTCACTAACTTCACAAGAACKTCTTCTGGAACAGATGGTCCGTATTGGCGTAGCATTGCCTGCAACAAAATGCACATGCCTTGTTGAACAAGATTTTATTCTCAAAGAGATAGGAAGGACTCTTACCATCTCGGACTTGAAGTCAGGATTATCCACAGCATGGCAGCTGAAGATATCGCCTGCAAAACAAGAAGAAATACTTGTAATTTATTGCGCTAATTGACTTGCAATTTATTAACTTAGAAAGAGAAAGGACATGCTCGTTGAGCACGCGTTAATAGGTAAAAATATTAGAGTTTTAATTAAGAGAAGAGGAAGTGGTGGCCTTTGAAAACAATAATCAAACTTCAATATAACCATTAATATTTGCGAAGAACTTTTGATGCAAACCGTTTAGAACTAGGTTTATCAAGTAAAGTTTCACAGTGACTTAGTATTTTGAGATAAATGAATCTAAACCACACGATTCACCTACCAAGAGCTGCAAAGAAGTCATTTCCCAAGAATGGGAATCCAGGTCTGTTAGCTAATGCAATCATTCGAAAATCAGGATGTGCTTGTATGACGTTATCAGGTAGCGATGAACTGCCATCTCCTATTGGGCCATTAACAATTAATATTCTCTCAACTCAACATTACTTGAAATCATTTTGCGTTTATTTCTCTGATTTTTAGTATTTCATTATCTTTACATTGCTGCCAATTAACAGACTGGAATAATGTAATTCTTCTTGATTTACCTTTAATGATTCTTCTGCCATCACCAAGAACCATCTCGCCACTCTCAACTAGAGTCTTAAGTATGCAGGTCACATGGGTAGGGGCCTTGTCCGCTTCGTCTACTACTAGCACATGACCAAACTTGACAGCTCGAACCTGTGGGAAAGGGATGCACTTATACCATAATCTATGATATGTGAATTATTATTTCCAATGGTAAGTGATATCTTGGTAGACATTCATATGCATACAATGCAACTTACCAATGGTGAATCTTCATAAACGATAATCCCATCCTGTACAGTCGGCTGTAAAGTAAGAGACTGGACGGTTGTATCTCTGCAATGAAGTAATAAACACTGAATAATAAATGCTACAAATCTGAAATAAAGTATGGTCAAAATTTACCTGTGTAGCTGAATGTACTCTCGTGGTCTGTTCAGGAGATGAAGAAATCTGTCTACAATTTTATTCTTTCCTACACCCTTAAATTCAAACAATAATACTTTATAGACAAACACAATTAAATATCAGAGAAGTAATCGCAAACTCCCATTTATCCCCATTTAAAGAATCATAACCACCCGTCGTACCTTGCGCGCTCRTATTATTGTTTACATACGTTTAAATGCGTCAAGCATGCAATAAATTATAGATTGATAGTACCTGTGAGGTACTTAGTTAAAGGTATTTCTGTCCAAACTGAAAGGACGGAAGRCGATTTGCGCTCACTTTAAGAAATCCTACAAATCCGCCATTTTCGTGTCCACCTAAAATGGCGCTTCGGCTCGCAAGGTACGGTGGGTGGTTATGATTCTTTAATTACAATATCATTTGAGACAACATGTTGAGTGTGTGGGATGCAGATCTTATGATCTAATAATAAGGGGTTTGAATCGGCTCCATGCATGAATGCCAGCATAGACTGTATATGATCTGATCTGCTTATACACAATACTCTTATACTCTGTCTCATTCATTCTTGTAAATAAACAACTAGTTTGGATTAGGAATGATTGATGCTTTGTATGGAAGGTACCTGATTTCCAACAAGCAGTAGGTGTTCACCAAGTGCAAAGTCCTTCAGCATGTCCTCCATAATGTTGAGATGCTGTGTCAGGGAAAGAAAGAATTGCTGGTTACAATGATACAACACCCAGTTATGACAATACTGCACGATAACAATGACACAGTTAACAATGACAACTATAAAGCAATGTGCATTAATACCTGAGGGATATCATAGAATACTACATCTGGTACTTTGGTTTGGTTATCTGGATTATGTACTGATACAATTGTCTGTCCAATTTTAAGGCTTCCATTTTTCACTTCACCTAAAGACGGCGATTCAAATTATTATAAAACTCCTTAGTAAATGTAACAAAGCTCAACAACCAAAAAAGAGGACCTGATTACATTCTTGTACTGAAAAGAAATCTACACAAATATAGCATCATAAAGCAAAAAATAGAAACAAAAAAGCTGCTAACAATTCTAAAAATCAATAACATAACAAAGTTAGCTTTTACATGGTGTTTTCATAGTCTTTTTTTGAAGACTGTTAAAAAGCATAGAGTACTYACTTGTTGTTGGTAGTTTGCGACCATTATCTATATTATTGTTTTCTATGTGTATTTTTGCATCGATGAGTTCCTTTTGCAGTCCTGCTGCTGCCAATTTAGGAAGAAATCTGAAAGGAAAACAAAAGCATCACCTCCATTACTGCTTTTTGGATAAAATCTTAGTCAGCTGCTGACCTTGATAAACATGCTTTATTGATTGCATGTTCAAGTTGTTCTGTTGGATGACTGGACAGTCTATTTGCAATGCGGAGAAGTTGTCTTGTTGACAATGAAGAGGAAACTGAAGAAACCTGAAAGAAAATAGTTACAAACATTTGTTTTATGTATGTAAGACATATTACCATCTGTTTTTAGGAATACTTACTGCAGCATCTTGTGAACTTCTTAATTTCTCTGTAAGATTTAAGACTTTGTCCATGGCTGACTTAGGAGCATCTGGAACCTAAAAAAGCACATTCTAGATTATTTGTGCTAAACCATGTCATCATTTAGTCTGGTTTAGCCCTACTCTAGGTAGTGGAATGATATGCTAACTGTTCTATTAAACAAATTTTGTAAAMAAATTATATAAAGTTACCATTTTGTAGATAACTTCAGCCTCTTGTTCTTTTGACAAAGGAATTACATTGTGAAACATAAACATTGACAAGATCTCAGAGTTGAGCCATGGAGCYTGAGTACCACCAATGACTGGAGGTTCAGCGAGACCAATGACACGAAAGGAAGGATGAATACAATATACCCCCCTATAGATTGAAATAAAAACCAGACATGGAATAGACACCAGTGATGACTGTAATGTGAATGACTTAGTGAATTTGCATTTACAGTTTAACTTTAAAATATGTGATAATATCAAAATATCTGGGATAATAATCATGAATTATTAATCCATTATTATCATTACTTTTCCTTCATGTTCTCATCGTCCAGATTTAGTTTTTGCTTCAAGGCATTGTATCTGTTTTCATCTAATAGTCTTGAACCATCATATAACTGTAGCTCACGATCATGAACAAGCCTGAAAAATATCACTTCATTAGTTTATATGCATCCTCCCTGTATTGCAGCTGGAGATGAATTATTTCTTTCTTTCTTTCTTACAAATATTCCACTAGGACTATACTTCACTGCTAATAACAACTCCTAAAATGTCTCTCATCAATGCTTTGATGAGTATAGTTATCAYTACTAGTAAGTATAGTTGCTATGAGTATAGTTGTTACTGCCTACAGTAATTTACTATTACAAAATACCTTTGTAAAACAGCTAAAGTTCCAGGGTTAACTCTGTGCAAACCATCTAACTCAGCAATATGACCTTCAAGTGCTGCTATGACTARAGGTGAAGGTCTCCAGCTYGTATCTCCATTTGCAAGTGTTATTCTTTGCTGCAGTAAGTCTCTTGATGTCATGTCTTGATAAAGAACTACTGGCTCTAATCGATATCCAAGAAGTTTAGCAAACTGTTGAACTAGGACTGATTTACCACATCCCTAAAAGAACAGTTAGATTAATGACATGAAGTCGTTTTATGCCATCTTTATCTTGGTTTGGAATTACAAAACCTAACTATTATGTTTACATACCTTAGGTCCAACCARGCAAAAATCACTGACAGCATGTGATTGTAACATTGCTGACAATAGATTACTATGGTATTGAGTCATCACAAACTATTAAAATATAGAAAAATAGATGAACAAAATATGAACAGAAGACTGACCAATGAACAATTGAATGAGCTAGTTGTTCCTTTGTAACAAGAATGATGACAACTTAATAATAATGTATTAAACTTGGACTTTGTTCACCTTATTGTCCTTTTGCATGCTGTCAGAAATTGAACATGGATGTTTTCTTCCATGTGGGACATCTATAGACACAGGAAACCCATTCTTGTTTAACTTTACAGATGATGTTGGGTTCTGAAAATCARATTTTTCTTCTATTCGTTCAATATTAATAGCTTCTTGAACTTGATTCTTTTTCTCCAAATGAAATGTCTGTAGTTTGAATGATAATACAATATTGTCAGTCAAGTCACTAATCCACCATATAACAAAGGATGCTGGGACTTTGAGAATCATGAAAATCTATTTCACTAAAACTATGTGGTCCACATATATATACAAACCTTGAGAGCATCTTTTACAACATTTTTTYCTTCTGTACCAAGAATAAGGTTATATGGGTACAAGGCATAAACAAGATCTTGTACACAATGGCTAGGATCATCTGACTTAAAAACACAAATAAAATTGAAAGATAATTGCAAATATAATAATCAATTAACCAATACATAAAATTATGCTTAGAAAATAATTCAAACTCAACTTACCAAGATTTTAACTATTTTAACTAAATTGTGAATAGGAAAATCAGGCAGCCCAACTGACGACAACTCTGAAGATTGAAGTGTTTGTGCAAAGGACAGCAGTTGAATCAATCTAGCAAAACAAATGTAAGCAAAATTACCACCTTATTGCTACCCTCCTGTTGATAACAATCAACTTACTTTTCTTTGACAACTTGAGGTCCTGAGAGTTGTAACAAATCAAGTTGATCCTGAAGTATGGTAAAACAATGTAAAATTGTTGCATTAAAAAAATACAATATGGATGTGTTGTGCATGTATTGTACCTTATAAGGTAAAAGCTGGATGTCTCGTGCCTGGAACCTGGACCTCAAAGGTGGATCTAAAGGGTTACCATGGTAACGAGGTACAGGCAGCCCAAGAGCTATAACCCTGAAATCCTCACTCACTCTCACTAAATTCCAGGCATCAAGTTCTTCCTTAGTGTGTTCCTACAAGGTAACAGACTTGAAATGAGGGAAGAAGAATACACTGATGATTTTGTACAAAAAGGTTTTTTTTCTCAAGTCAAAGATAGCAGGATACAATCTGACACCTTGAGCAGAGCATCATATCTTGAGGCTGCCATAAGAAAGCGTCCATCTTCAAGCTGCATTTCCCTTGAAGGACAAAATAATTCATATTATATACACCAGGCAATGTCATATAAGGAAAAATTATCAAACAAAATACAATGTGTAGTGTGTTATAATGCACATTGAATATTTTATACTACCGTACCTGTTCTCCAGCAAGTTATTCAAGACTGGTAGAACATTTCGTTCTGCTTTTTCTATTCCCTCCAACACAAGAATGCGTCCTTTGACTGCTGCACGCACARCACATTGATCAACATAAAATGCTGTCCCATGATGTATTTCTCTTCTTTGTTTTAAATCAGCTTCTGTTGTATCTCTAGTAAGAGATAAATACTCCATTTCACCATTTGTCAGTTCCTGAAGATATAAAAATAAAGTTATCATTTGTTTATTATATATACAGCATGTTTTATCCAATATCAGTTTCCTAATTGTTTTAAATCATTCAAAGTACTTACTAAATATTGCATTGCAAGAAGTCTTCTCAGTGGACCTGGAGAACCAATAAGGAACACATCTTGACCAAGTTTGTCCTGCAACATACTCATAATTACATTCTCATGCTATTTAATGATAACTATTATAAACATAAACCTCACTGAGTTTCCTTCATTTCCATTTTCATATCTCTTTATTTTCATATTCATAGTGTTTCTGCTCCAATCCCCCCCTCCCCCCCTCATGCCATGATTTCTCTTTTTTATATAATACTTATCATTTACTCACTTTTCTGTAATAAAATCCTAGTCCCTTTCTCTATGTCTGTCTAAACCCTGCTGAGTTGTTCTATGCTGCAATTTYATTATAATGCTGTCTAAGGCTTATTCCAGTGAATGGTACATAACTTATGATATAATTCAGCTTACAAATTATTACTTGACTCTCATTACCTTCTGCATTATCCATCTTAATGTTGTTAAAACACTCTGTGGAAGCTCCCCAGAAACTAATTAAGAATTAATTAGAACTAATTAAGACAATATCTTCATCATGAGTAATGAATATGGGCTTAAATCTAGAATATCTACTCAACACAATAAAGTCATGGTTCCTATGTGCAAAATACCCTGCGAGCAGAGTGTATTTCCTTACCTCATACACTCTGCTTGCAGGGTATGTGCAAAAGTGATACTCATGAAAATCATCACTTACTATATTTTATTGGAACTAGTTCAGGATTTAGAGCTTTCTTGAGCTTGATTGTGACATCTCCAATACTCACATTGGTATCTGTTGATATGAATTTGAGAAAGTTCAGATCCACCTCTCCCCTCCCCTCCTCTCCCCTCCCCTTCTCTCCCCTCCCCTCCACAGTAGCAATTGAGTGAAGTTATATCACTAACCTRTACATAGAGGCTTTAATACTGGTGAATGAATGGAGTTAGCTAGAATTCTTAGCCTCCTTGAAGCAGACATAGATGCGAATCTAAGCATTCCTCAATCAACCCTCAACGTGCACCATGTTAAAAGTCACATCTGATAGGGTTATGTAATTTCAAAACTGATATAATAAATAGACTGATATACCCATCAGGGCGCCCCAAAAAAGTTAAAAATCTCCAGTAAATGTTTTTATGATGATATTTAGATCGCTGATACCTATCTACCAGTATAAAAGTCAGAAGTGTTCACTGACTATATTTTCTTCACGTCCTCTGCCATGATGGTTCTGAGACGACAATCTCAGAGTTCAGCGTTACAACACATGAACACTCGGAAATGTCCGAAGAAACGACGATATTTTTGCGATAGTCAATCGGTGCCATCTCGGTTTTTCGATATTGGAACAAAAAGAGGGAAGTTATTATAAAATTCATAAAATGTACATAAGGTGGACACKAATGCATAGATTAAAAATTTCAGTACATTTTGTTTCACATTATCTATGYATTTTATTCTTATTAATTTCCCCGGATTATTTCAACTGTTGTTCGGCATTTAATAATTTGAAGATCGGAAACAATTCAAACAAAGGTTTGGCTTWGATCTTAAATTGATAGTAGAACGGAGTTCCGCAAAATTCCTAATACGTGGACAACGCCTCTGTACTGTGACCCTTCCCAACTTGAAGTGACAAAATTATTCGATTTTCATTCATAAAATGTCAAATTCAAATAATATTTTCAATCTGGATGGTGTGTACTTCTGGCCCTCCCTGGTTCAACAAACCGACGCCCATATTTCTATAAAAGAAATGATCTGCAAACAAACAACGTTCATCAACTAAATTCGGATGTGCTGTCACCTAACCGGAAGTAAATAGCACGGATCCAATCAGTTCGTGACGTCAAAGCAGGATCGAGAATCAACATGGAAGAGGGCTCGACTTGAAAAAGCGAACAAACTTGGATTTAGCCCAATGAAACCCCAACAATTACTTGGTATATCAAAGATATAATATCAAAGAGACGTTGAATAAGGTTTAAGTCTTTTTATGGAATGAATTGGACGTATTTGGAGGACCGAAGTGAACAGCTATTTCTGTATGATCGGTCGCATCGCGAGCAAGTATGCGACTACAATTTAACGTGTTTTGGGTTTCTTTCGCCGTTTATTTCATATGTTTGATGAACTTTACACACGGAAAGAAGATTTCAAAGCGAAAATCAATTCATAGAATTCCTCTTATTCGGACGAAAAGAGATTTAAGAGATTCACATGGAGTACCGATGGAAAACCTCAAAGGGCGCCCAGGACAAGGGTATTACATTGCGACTAATTTAGGAAAACCTCCACAACGGGTATGTAGAAAAGTTATGTTTCCGTATATTTATCATCACAATTTCAATTCTGACAACAAAATGCGTCCTTAGCTCGATAACAGATTTGATAAAACATTTTGGSTTTTTCGATGCAGATTAGATGGCGTGTTTACCACAACGCCGTTCTGCATGGCTTCATGACTTTATGAAACGTTTGTTTCTCTCTATTCTTATACTACACCGAATTATAAAAGACTGACGATTTGACCATCCATAGCCGAAAGAAGCCTTCATACTTTTATTAACGACTCCACAGCTTTTAAAATGTTTCTTCATGAAATGAAAGAAAGCGATTAACATGTCCACAAACTGCTTCAAGACATGCTTCAAGAGTGGCGATATTCAATTGCAATGTTTCTTTTTTGTATTTTTTCTTCATTTAAGCTTATATTTGATATTTTTGTGTGTGTGGAATATAGTAATTATTAAATGATGATAAATGAAATAAAATAATGTTATAAACCATCATTATTTTAGTGTGGTAGCAATGTTGTCGTCCAATATTCTATTTACCATATTTTTTTGCAGTGATCCCGGAACGCTTTGGATAACATTTGTCTGAAAATTGAATTTCAGAACCGTTGATTTTCTTCTACTTCTTATTAAACAATTCAGAAATATATAAAAATCCATCTTCATCATATTGTGCTTGATATCATTTATAATGCTGACACTATCAATATAATGTTATAGTAAAGTCTATAATCAAAGAAACTTATTTGTTGTTCATCAGAATATTTAAGTGTTTAAATAATTCACCTGTGCTGTCTAATGTTTGATAATGTGGTTCTATATTTCAGATTAATGTACTTGTAGACACAGGAAGTAGTAACTTTGCTGTAGCTGCTGCGGGTCATCCTTATGTACCATATTATTTTCACATTGAAAAGTAAGTTCCTTGAATTATCTGTTCATTCATTCAAACATAACTTTATTTTATTATCATTTCATTATATTTGTTTCAGGTCTAAAACATACAAAGACCTGAATAGGCCAGTGTCTGTGCCTTACACTCAAGGGAATTGGGAAGGAGAGCTGGGCTCTGACCTTTTAAAGTTTATAGAAGGACCAAATGCTACTGTTAGAGTAGATGTGGCCAGTATTTTGTCTTCTGAAAACTTTTTTATCAATGGATCAATGTGGGAGGGTATCCTGGGGCTAGGATATGCAAGGCTGGCAAAGGTAAAATGAAAAGGATTGTTTTTTGTGTTTTTTTCATTTTTCATTGTTGTTGTGAAATATGTCGATGCCTGTTTGTATGGATGTTACTGATTCTTCTTTTATTAAGKTCAAAGTCTTGATTTCCTCATCCTACTTGTCCATAATATAGAGATGATTAAAATTCAGAGGAAGGAAAACATTGTTACAAAAGAAGTATTGTATTCGAACCCCAGACTCGTTTTCCTTAATCCAAAACTTGGGTTCCTAAAACGATGTGTTCCTTCCTCGGAATTATAATCATCTCTATATATCTTAAACTGTCGGATCGACATGGACACGTCCATAAATAATTGTATAATTTAGTCTATTATATTAAGCGTAAGAGATATGAAAAGAAATTCCAGGTATTGGATCTGTATAAACCACTTATGATTGTTAATATGGAAACCAAAGATCAATAAAAACATCCATAATAACGCATTATTTAAATTACGGTACTATGTATTATAGCCTTATTTGTTTGCTGTTGTTTTTTTCAGCCTGATTCAAGTGTTGTTCCTGTTTTTGACCAGTTTGTAAGAGAAAGAGCTGTCCAAAAAGACTCTTTTTCAATGCAGCTTTGCGGAAGCAGTGAGATTGAGCCGTCATCAGAGCCTACAGTGGCAGGAACTATGGTAATAATGTCATTACAAAAATATTTGAATACCAAATCTTGAGCTTTTTGTATGGAGAGTGAATAGTACTAACTAATGGATAAATTATTAGTCATGTGTACCAAGCTTATGGAGTGGATAACGTTATTTTGTTAGGTGACTTTGTCTTTGCCATGCAATAATATCGTTAAATCATGGGAAAAACAGATCTTCATGAATCATTGTACTTTGTAATGAAACTTAGCTGACAAGTTATTGCAGTATTTTTAAAATTATGTTGTATTTCTATGGCAGGTATTTGGTGATATTGACGATGAATTGTATAAAGGCGACATGTTATATACCCCTATAGTTAAAAAATGGTATTATGAAGTAGTTATTACTGATATTGCTGTMGATGGGGAAAGTCTAAATTTGGATTGTAAAAAGGTAGGTAAAGAGATCATTAGGTCTTCTACATGATATCACACAATAAACATGTATTCTTCTATGTTTCAGTATAACTATGACAAGACTATTGTTGACAGTGGCACCACCAATCTCAGAGTATCTGAAGAAGTATTCAACTCTATTCTAGACAGACTACGAAAGTTTGACAGAGTAAGTACATTAGAGTTGTTCTTTTGTTAGTTTCTCTTGTAGAAATTCAAGTTATGATTCTTTCTTGTAAGTAGTCCACTTTAGTCTCTCTATTTCTCTCTCTGTTTTCTCATAATATAACCTTATATATTTCATTTCTAATTATTTTTAGCTTGGAGTACCAGATGACTTTTGGTATGGCAGACAAATGATGTGCTGGAATTATGACAAAACTCCTTGGGAGGAATTTCCTGATATGTCCATTTCACTTTTATCATCAATCAGCCCTTCAAAGGAATTTAGACTTAAGATTCCTCCTCAGGTAATCTGTTATATGTAAAATTATTGTTGTTCAAAAATGTGTTTGAATCTTTATATTGTGAGGGTTTAAGAGATGAGATGTGGTGTTCATTCATGTTTGTGAATTTACTCAGTAATATTTTTGAATTCGTTGTAGTTATATTTAAGAGAAACAATAGAGCATGGGCCACTGTTGGGACAGCATTGTTATAAATTTGCAATCACWAGAGCTGAAAAAGGTAAACAGAATGTTTATCCCTTTCATCTATACTGTTGAACAATAATCAGTTGTGATAAAAATCAAATGTTTTTGGTGCCCTGATGTACAAGCTTTCTTTCAACAATAAATTGTTGTCTTCTTTCTTAGGCACTGTTATTGGAGCAGTCATTATGGAAGGCTTTTATGTGGTATTTGATAGAGAAAATGTGCAAGTTGGATTTGCAGCAACTACATGTGGAGGTAAATATTAAATGATAAACACAAACTTCTTTCAGACCAACTATCATCACATCAACAATTTTTTTTTATTTTCAAAGCTGAGGGTCGTCTGAATCCAAGGTCTGAGGTTTCTGGTCCATTTAGTAGAGGTATAGTGATAACTTATAAGGTTAATTCATGTATTTCTGTGGTATTAATAACATATATTTTTTACAGATCCTGTAGACTGTGAATATATAGAGACAGAAAGTTCAGACACAGCACTATTAACAGTAGCATATGTTATGGCGGGGGTTTGTGGGTTGTGTTTATTACCAATATTCATTCTTCTTGGTCAAGCAAGCTGCAGACGTAAAAAAGATCCGGCTAGCTTACTGTCAGGCAGTGACTATAAATAGGCAAACAATTCACATACTAGCTTATTTATTACTTAGGATTGGTGGGTTGACAAAKATGATGATTTCACTTTGGGCAACTGCTTCCTTATACTATACCATGGTAGATACAGTCAAACACAATCAGACCTTAATAATGAAGTATCAGCAATCAGCTACTGTTCACTGCAAAGGGAGGTTTTTTTTTAGTCATTTTTGTTTTAGTGAGATGTCTTGAAGTGTCTGCCATAATTTGGTATCCATGACATCACGGTGTCTGCTCTTTATATCAAAACTAAATGAATATTTTTTTAATCAATGTATGCTAAAAAGATTTTTCTTTTGTTTGGTGGTGGGGGGAGGGGGGGCCTAGGTGGAGAAGAACAGGCTTCTTTCTGGTAAATCATGTTTTATTGATAATTTTGGAAATAACTCATCCACACCTCCTTAGTAATAAATTAGGCATAACGACTTGTATATTCATTCTATGTTTATGTTGTATATATATTATGCTGTTGTAAGACATGTACTCCTTGAATCAAACAACTCTGTATAGCAAATAGCTTTGTAATTTAATTATGAGACAATGCAATATTGTTTGTCTATAACCATATATATTTGTTAATATCATAGTCATGACATAATAGATTAAACTAAAAAAAAAAACTATTTAAGGCCCATTATTAGCATTCATCAGATATTAATGTATGACGAAAATATACACATATTATGCAATATACCTATTTGTAACAAACATGAAAAATTGTGGAAATAAAAATCGATATTTGTGTTTGTGCTGATAGCAAGTTCATGAAAAGATAGATGCTGGAAATGAAATTCCTTCTTAATGCAGATAATCTGTGAAGCATGTCATTGAAAAAATAACATTTTATTATAATTGAAGTTATATATATCACAAAATTCCTAAAAATATAATATGAAATTCATTAATACTAAGTTATTAATATAATTAGCTACTAAAGCTATTTGCAGTCAGACTCAATTTCTTTCGCTGGTATTAATAATTCCCCCACAGACTCCACAACAAAGTCAGGCACATACTTCTTCTTATCAGAGTCTTTGATGGCAGTATGAAGGATTTCTTGATTTGTATTTCCTGATAAAACTAGCAGAGTTTTTGCACCACAGTTGTTTCCAAACAGAATATCTGTCTCAAGTCTGAAAAAAACATCATATCAGAGTCACCACAGATGCGTGGAAATCCTAAAACAGTTGCAATACAAACTTTTGATAAATTCAGGGGCACATTTAAAGGTCATAGGATGCTGTAATATTGAAAAGTAGTGGTTTGCCATGCCTTGTTAATACTATACTTTTGGGGGAAAATACTTCTAAAGGCACTTATAAAGTTGATAGCTTTATTCCATACGTTTCGCCTTTTCAGGCTTCATCAGTGGATACAACTGAATGGCTAGTTTGAATAAATTACAAAAGTTATTTTCCCCCAAAAGTGCTGTAATATTGTCTACATTGTAGTACAAAATATCCATTCTTTGCATACTCTGTAAGTACAACAGATGGAATTTTCATTCAAAATTGAACACTTACGTATCCCCTATCATACAAGTTCTTGCCGGGTTGATGTTATGTCTGTAAAACAGATTATGAAATATTACAGATCACTCACTTTTCAAACGCTACCTCTGCATATAATCATTATGATAAATAGACTTTTCAAAGGTTGATGTTTTATGGACTCCACAGCACTGAGAGAGTACACCAACACTAAAATTATGCAGTGCAAACATGTTTTCTTATATCATGCACAAGTGTATTAGTTACTATATGACTGTGTAAGGACTAAACCAAATTACAATGCATACTCACTCATTTACAATACAGTTAAACAACACAGTAGAGGGTTTCCCTGCATACACAGGGCTCCTTCTAGCAGCTTTTTCTAGATATGCAGCAAAACAGCCTGTTCCTATAATTCACAAAATTGTGAAAAATTGGTATTGACATACTAACACACATGGAAAAAGTGCAGTACCATATTTACTCGAATAAACGCCGCCCCCGAATAGACGCCGCATCTGGGTGCGGCGTCAATTTGAGGAAATAATGATACCAGCAATGGGAATTTATTTTCTTTTAGAACATTTTTTATTTCGGAGTGACTGTACTTGTTTGATCTCAGCAGCTGTTAGATTCCGACCACAAGGAGGACAKTGATATTGAAATAGAAGTTTAACTCTGGTTAAAATCATAAATTGAATAGACAAAGTGAACACGACATTTATATATTGAGATTCGTTACTGTTTGTTAGTAAAAAGATACAATATAAAGTACAGTATGTAGTACTGAATAAAGTGTCTTTTTAATAAACGCCGCCCCCGAATAGACGCCGCCCTCGAATAAACGCCGCAGCTGGATCGTGAAAAATGAAATAAACGCCGCGGCATCTATTCGAGTAAATACGGTATGTAGAAATCATATTTCATGAAACAATACCTGGAATAATGTAGTCTTTTGATTTAGGTACTGGCATTCTGTCATCAGGGTTTGTAGCAACAAAGAGACAAGATGAATCTCTCGCCAAATAACTGCTAGCTTTGATAAGTTTATTAATGCTAATAAACTTATCATATCCACTAACTACAGCCCCCACCTAAACACAAACAACTCACATATCTGGCCTTCAAGTTTGATTAGATAAATATTGATCCATCTTTAAATAATTCATAATTAAATAATGTATTTAGTGCCAAAGGTCGTAGGTGCCAACTTTAATCCTACCAAGTCATTAGATAGATGAATGCCACTGCTTTGTTRGGAATAGACAAATGGATGGATAGATAATAGCACAATGATTAAAATATTATATTTAATTCATGAATAATCACCTCGGGGTCCAAATTAAAGTCCACATCATATTGAATATTAAAATCATCTTTAACATCATCACGCTGCAAAACATTTGAAGTTATTATTAGAAGTTATCTTTTAGAAAGTTTGATACAACCTTGCTTTCATTGTTTGCCTTCTCTCCAACTCCTTTCTGCATTTATCCTTGAATTATGTCATAACTATACTCACACCATATCCAATGTTAGGTATTCCTACAGCAGTTARTTCCTCTGATAATCCTTTACCACCAATCATGTACACCTTTTTATCAAACTTAACAATGTGTTTCATGTAATAAGCAGTTGCAAATGCTGCTGTGTAGATCTCAGTCTTGCTAACTTTCATACCAAATTTGTCAAACTTTTTTAGGAAGTTGTCCCTTGAAATGTCGTTATTATTGGTTATAAAGAAAACTTTCTTTCCCTAGAAAATGAAGTGTATTTTAGTTATAGATAAGGATTGAGGATGGAATAAAATCATATTTTTTATTAGCCTGCATAGCAGCTCTAGGGGAAAAAATGTTTCACCCTCCCCAACCCCTCCACCCCTCCCCTAAGACTCCCCTCCCCTCTTGTTTTCCCCTCGGACCCCTCCTCCCCTGAGCTCAAATCAGTTGGTCATAACTAACTGTCTGTGACAGCCAAAATGTACATAAGAAACAACTTGCATATCAGGTCCCGAACACTCATCACCAAGCCTCCAAATGGGAGGCTCAACTTTTTTAGCACAGAAARCCCAGACAAGGAGTTTCMGGCAATGATTCCAACTAATACTGCAAATTGTTACTTATGACTTATAGACCCCTTCATGAGAATGCAGTACCTAGAGAGAAAAAGTTTTTATCCTCCAGATGGAGCTGCTTTGACTTCACTTGCAAGGAGTCTATTAATTAAGTCTTAAAACAATATTTGCCCAGGGTGCATAGGCACGACTAACACCACATACCACACACACACTGAAGACAAGAAGGGGAAAYAAATCAAAATAATTATTGTTATTAGAAAAATTGTAGTCCTTACCATGTTTCTTAAGCATTCCACAAGCTCTGTAGCACCAGGAATTAAGTTTTTTTGCAGCCATATTACACCTAAAGAATTTCTAAATTAGAAAATGCCTTCGAAATCTGCTATGTTTTTTTCAAAGTCTCTAGATTTTGATGATAATTCAAGAGGACCTCGTGAATTGTAACAAAACATTATAAGAATACGAACCGTCAAGATCAAATATAAATGTTTCACAGGMTTCGATCAAATTTCTTTTGTTTTCATTTGTGTACAACCATTTCGCTTCCTTGATAGCCTCCATGTTGTACAGTAGAGCCCAGTCTTCCAATTATTAGAACGTGTCTGCTTRGCCGTGAGGAGGTTACGACAGACTAGTAAATCCAAAATGGCGGGGGAGGGTTTGACTTGGAGAAAAAGAATACTTCAGAAACTTGGAGATCGAAATCTACAGGAATTAAAATACTTCGACGATCTTGTGAAAGCACGTAAGTTCACAATGGAATAGATGTACTCAAAGAAGGGTATTGGATATCGCTGCAGGTTTATTTACATTATATGAGAAGCAAAACATTGAAACGTTGGGTTGTCAAACCTTTCTGTCTTGCGTTTTTGAAAGACATTTTACATAGTTTATCTGATGCATTGTGCTAATGCTAGTGTGTATGATTAATTAGAACATATCTCAATCTACGCTTCGTATCAAATCCAAAAATCAGTCTAGACGCCATATTTCTCAATTTTATTTGGACTTCCGGATGATAGAATGAATTCTTATAAGATTAAGATTCCTCTGACAGTCACTCACTCAAGGTTTCACTCTTTATAGCACAATTTTTTATTGTTTTTTCTTTAGATAACAGACTGTTTGAAGTAGCAGATTCTTCTAAATCAAAAATAATCCAACTAGAAATACAAACMTTTCAACTTCAGCAGGTGAGTAATAAATTATTTTTCGGTTGCTGCATTTGACGTCTGAGCTGATTAATTTATGCATGGATAGCACAAGGTTGTTTCTTCAGACATTTTACTGTAAACAGACCAAAAACCCTGTCTGTAAGCTTACACCAAGAGACAATGCATCTATCATTGCATTCAATAATTTCCATTTCAACGCATGTTTCCATTCAATATATGTACAGGAATATTTGACAATGCATCATTTGTGAATTTATTTTATTTTTTAGGAAAGGACAGAGCTACAAGGCCGGATTCAAGAACTTAGGTAGATTTCTTTCTATAGGTTCCTCCCTTTGTTCTTCCTTCCTCCCTTTCTCATTTCCTCCTCCCTTCATCATTTTCCAGTCCTTCCTTTCTCTCCTCCTTTTCAATATATCCTCCTTCCTTTCTTTTTTTCCTCTCTTCTTCCACCCTTCCCTTCCTTTCTCTTCTTAGATTTTCTTCAAGATTGATTACTGAGTTATTATCGTCATTCTTTAATTTCATTTACTTAGTGCATCTGGAGCAGGAGCTGCTGCAGCAACTGCAACATCAGAAAAAGTAACCTCTCTTGAACAAAAGCTCTTTAAAACTCAAGAAGAGTTGACAGAGCTTCATCGATGGAAGTCTGAAGTAAGCAATCAATATGGTATCTTCTCGCTCTGTACTGTTCTCTTTGTTGTTGTTTTGTTCTTCAAATATTGCCTTTCTTTCTCTACTTTCATCTATAGCAGCTTTCTTATTTCATGTTATCATACACTCTATCTTTATTTCAGAATGCTCAACATGTAACAGAACTAATGAATCAAATTAGGCAAAAAGAAGAGGAAGTTTTGCAAAAAGAAGCTCAGTAAGAACTGTGTATACATAGCATGTTAAATACTTTTGGAAATATTGTTCCTATTATTTTAACTAAAATTGATTTTCTTTACTATTCTGTCACTTCTTCAACATTTTATTTTCCGTCATCAATACTGTTACTTGTCATAGTCATTACCATATCATTGATACTGCAGATGTTATCATCATGATTGTAGCAGATTTTCAAGTAAAATTGTCATGAAAGATAAAAGTGGTACATTGATTAAAACATACCAACTGTTCTATTGTACGTTTACAGGCTTCACGATGCAATAAGTAACCAAAATGCTATGAAAACTGAATGTCAAAACCTAGGACAGACTATAATAGATTTACAAAAAGCTAATGAGGTATTGAATGTAACTGAATTTTATTATTTCTCTTTGTCTTTTTCATGTTTTTTTTACTCTTCTTTTCTTCTTTTTCTATCCTTTTTTAGTTAATAAAAGATGAGCTGCAAGTACTGCAACTTGAACACACTTCACTTGAAGATAAATTCAAAAAAACACAAGAGGAAAATAGAGAATTGGTATGGTACATTGTATAACCTTTTTTGCATAATTTGTTTTTGCTCATTTGTTCAATTTTTCGATCATCTTCCTTTCTTGTTATTGTTCCATTTATTCATTTCTTCAATTATTCATTTTCTTCATCTTTTTTAACTAATCGAACTATTATTTTGTTCATCCATTCATCAATTCTTTGCTTTGTTAAATCTCTCATGTATCCAAATGTTCCTTCATTCATTTATTCATTGTATTTGTTCAATTATTTATTGCTTCATTCATTTTTTGTTCATTTATTTAGTTATTTCTTTATTTGTTCTTCTTTGTTTTATCAGGTTGAAAGATGGATGATACAAAAAGCAAAAGATGCAGATAAAGTTAATATGGAAAATGAATTACAAGTCAGGTATAAGAAGGGTGGGAGGATTTGCTTCTTTTGGGTGTAGAGGACTACCTACCACTGGGACTAATCAACTAGAAAATGTATGACTTTTTATTTATTTTATTGATCAGTATTATATTTATTTATTTGAAAAGAACTCGGCAAGCACAATTGCAGAGGGAATTATTAGAAGCAGCCAAAGAACCTGTAAATATACCGTAAGTTAATGATGTTTTCTGTGTATCCCACCATATTTAAGTTGTTGACGTTTATCAAGTACAGTCTTATAATTTTTTGATGTTGTTTGCAAATGATCAACTGGTTTGAAAGGGTTGTAGATAGCTTACATTTAATATATTGGTTCTCAACTTGCTTTCCACAGTATTGATTATAATCGAGAGCAATGAAAAACGTATTCAATATTCATTGGTTATTTATTGTACTATTAGGAATTTATCAGATTCGCCTCATATACCATACTGTGTTATTACTACTATTCCAGCATTTCCCCAAACCAAATTTGTAAGTACTGAAAAATAACATTGGTGATAATTACATCAGTTCAGTTTTAATTGCCAAATAGGCTAGAAAGTGAATCCAATGCTTCATCTACTCATTTTCAGGATGCACATGATGGGGAGGTTTTATCAGCAAAGTTTAGCATATCAGGAAGGTTGTTTGTTACAGGTGGAGGGGACAAGAAAGTAAAAGTCTGGGAAACTGGAAATGGTATTCAACAATTCAGTTTATGAACTTTAAAGTTTTAATTCTACTCAATCAGAACAAAGTCTCATATAAATGGTAAAAGATATTCACTTTTTCTTGTATAGATACAATTATATCAAAAGGTACCATGCATGGCTGTACATATGCTGTCACATCAGTTCAGTTTGATGTGCAGGTTTGTATTCTTTTATCCAAAATCAATTATAACTATACAATAGGATATAAAACTTATTTTTTTATAACTGTGCAATATTGTCATTTCATGCAGTGTTCATACCATGCCATAATGTATTTTTGGATCAGCATTTTTCATTTGGGATTACTACTAGTCAAAATTCCGTGACCAGCTGTTGGTCATGCTATTGCTCGGCCATATGACATCTGATCTCATGTACTCTGTAGTATTTGGGACTGACAAAGCTACTGTGTGTGCTTTACAGGAAAAGTTGATTCTGGCAGCTTCTAATGATCAAGCTTGTCGAGTTTGGACAGTTGCTGATGAAAGACTCAGAGTAAGTGAAGAAAGTAGTGCTTTCCCTTCCAGATAATGTAATTTGCAGCTTTGATAAAAAAAAATATTCTCTACTTAATTTGAAAGCATACTTTAACTGGACATCAAAGCAAAGTCATGACAGCAAAGTTCATGGGTTCAGATGCATCCAAAGTTGTCTCAGGAAGCCATGATAGAACTTTAAAGATATGGGATCTGAGAAGCAAAGCTTGTAAGGAAAACTTGGTGTGAGAATTGTCATTATAGATGTACCAGTGATGATTATGATGTTTGTTGACCAGGTATTCGTACAATCTTTGCTGGATCAAGTTGTAATGACCTTGTCATTAATGAGCTTATAGGGTAAGTAATATCATACAGTGTCGTTCATATTCATCATATTTTTTGAAACTTTTGCATTTTTACAGAAGCCAAATAATAAGTGGCCATTTTGATAAAAGAGTACGATTTTGGGACTCAAGGTGAACGATTTGACAAGCTATTATAAAAAGTGTAATCCATGTAACATAATAATATTTTTATCTTTTATTTTATGCCTCATTTCTAAAGGTCAGATACATCCGTTGGTGAAATCACATTACAAGGAAAAGTAACTTCTTTAGACCTTTCTCCTGGTAACGCTACATGGATTTGTGATATTGTTAATACAATCTATCAGATTTCCTGTACCTTCTTCATTTACCATTACTCCATTATTCTCATGTGATCCCTTCTAAACGTTTCTCCACTTACCATTACTCCATCATTTCTCATTTTGTTCCTTCTAAAATTTTCATTGTTCCATTCCCATTAATTCATATATAATTCAATGCTATTTTTCAACCAATCCTTCTACAATATTTGTTAATGTTTCACTTTTTGCTATTTTTTCTTTCTAAAGACATGAACCAAGTTCTTGCCAGTACACGTGATGATACAGTTAAAGTTATTGATCTGAGAATGAGCCAAGTTGTTTCAACCTGCAGGTATAAATTATATTTCATTTCATTTTTGGACTAAAGATAAAATGATTACTGTAACTATGATTATATTTTCAGTGGTGATGGATTCAGACTAGCAACAGACTGGACAAGAGCTTGTTTTAGGTAAATCAACCTCTTGCCTTATGTGATCTTGAACCTTTTTGCATTTCCTTTGATGTGTAATCTCTCAATGCTGCTTTAGTTAATAATAATGATAATAATAAAATAACAATAATAATAATATGCTTCTTGTTATAGTTATTCTTTATTTGCTCTGCCTGTTTTCCACAGCCCTGATGGTCAATATGTAATGTGTGGATCTCAAGATGGTAGTGTGTATATCTGGAATAATTCAACAGCAAAATTAGAAAAAGTTTTAAAAGAACATAGGTTTGTACAGTGATTATCATCAGAAAT